CTGGGCAATTAAAAATTGTTTCTGGGAAAATGAAATGTTAAAGTCACTTGCCCGAAGGGCAATATGTTTTACTGCTATAGAGAATCCCACCAATTTATTGTATAAAACGAGCCAATCAGAAGCAATCACCTGCCTCCATAATGTCACCTGATGATTAATCAGGTAACTTTATCCATTCTTGTGGGTTTTTTAATCCAGTGTTGTTTTATCAAAGCTTTAGAACAACAGTAAAGTCAGAGGAACTCACATTGAGACCAACAGAGGACGGTTTCTGACAGGAGAACCCAGCTGATGAAGAGCAATGAAGCAGACATGGTGGTTCTCAGAGCTGCTGGAAGGCATTTAGATCAAGTCAACCAAGCTGTCAGATTATCTAAAGGAACAACATCAGGGATATAAAACTATGAAAGAGACTTACCATTTGATTTTCCTCGCTGTTTTAACAAACTAGGATATTGTTGTTAATGAAACCTTTCAACCGCTGTTGGCAGAAGCTTTGTTTCCTTACCTGTCATTTACTTCCTGCCAAACAGGCTCTGAGGCGTGGCTACTGCAGCTACGTTAGACACAAAGCAGACGACGCATACTTTAAACTGCAGAGCAACAATGTTCTGAAGGATTGAGAAACAAACTCTTTGTTTCTGTGTCTGCAGTCTCAATGTGGAATAAAAACAAACAAAACAGGAAACCATCAAGCCAGTCTGCATTGATTCACTATAAAATGAATTATCCTCTGCCAACTTTTTCAGTTTTTATTCTAACATATCTTTAAACTGTCTAATCCAAGGTATCTTTTTTAAAGCTTTTTAAATGAACTTATATTTTATTGGGTATAAATCCACCAGGTTAATCCAGCTGATCTAGTCGCTGTTATCAGATCCAGGGCTGCTTTCTCTTCCTCAGATCCCTGAGCTGTAAACCTTCAACCATTTACTGCTTTAATCCTCAGCTATGTGAGGAGAGATTAGGGTTATGGCACTTTCCATTTCCTAACATCTCCCTCTAGTGGCCATAAGAAATACCTGATTAGATTTGTGTTCCTCCTATTATCGTTGATCACCTTGTTAATTCACAGTTTACCTAAAAACAAGGATTTATTATTGGTTTATTTAAAAAAAGCTAGAAATAAAACAGTTACTGAAACCACACGAAATGCCCCTCTTTCAGCTTCCAGTCTGTAATGTA